AATAGCCTACAAGCTGTTTGTCTGTGCCACTTTCAGTTTGAATTGCAGAACAGCATGGCTTTGGTTAATTAGTAAAATGTTGCCCATTAGCAAAAATAATGTTGATGCAAAATATGTAGGCATTTGTGTGTTTTTTAGCGACTTTTTTACCCAAAAGGCAAAATTAAAATTATGAACAATACCTTTTAAGGATTTTTTGTACCCAATTACCGGCCAGGTACGTGCATAAAACAGCCAAATTGAACTTTCAAAGATGAAAACCCTAATCAGACAGGTGCCTCGAGTTTCTCTTAAATTGCTATTCATGGCAATATGCATTTTTCAGTGGCTTATAGTCTGTTCCATATCAAGCTTGCAGTTGGAGTTTCTTCGGCAGATCGCTCGGATCGCTCCTCCGCTCAAGAATTTGCGTCTTAAAATGTAAGAGTTGTATATACAGAAATCACGCACTGCTTTCAGCAGGGCACTTCGGCTGCAAACTTGAAACGGAACAGAGTATAGTAGCAAAACTGCACCATTCATTTCATATAATTAACTAAACTGAACAATTTTGCTGACGCCAAACATGCTGAAATGTTATAACCCCGGATGCTGCTTATTTGAACTGTATATGCAGCACCTATTACTACCGCCAACGGCAAATCTATTGATTATTAATTGCTCTAAGTTCCTCCAAGAGAGCACCTTACATGCATATTACATGCGTTGCGTCATGTTTTATCTGTCCTCAGAACTCGGGGGATCTGGGCGTATTGGACTTCCGTTGATCCATCAGACCTCATAAATATTCGTGAGGATAGACTATCACAGAAGTCCCTGGGGAAATTCACATGGTGTCACTAGCCATCGACGCCCAGTGTTTCACTGGTGGCGATGCATACGGTGAGGACGGTGTAGGCTGACTGCATTCCAGTTGGCATCCAATCCAGCTTCAGGGCCTGCTAAAATGCGGATTGGAATTAGAAGTTAATAATGCAGTGCTTTTTGAGAAAGAGATGGATCGAAATCAGAAAAGAAGAGAAGGATATCACGAAAGGGAAAGGAAGAGAGAGAGAGAGAGAGAGAGAGAGAGAGAGAGAGAGAGAGAGAGAGAGGGAGAAAAAAAGAGATAGTAAGAGAGTCCTCATTAGCAGTAAAAAAACGCATGAGTAACAATATACTCCTGTTGCTTTTTATAGTTGTTTTCGCTGTAGCCAATAACAATCATGCATGTTAGTTTTTCAAGTTAATTTTCTTAATCCAATTCCGTGTTAAAATTTTGAACATACTAGCATGAAACATTCCAAGCTGTCTTGACGAGTGCTCAACATTGTCTTAAAGTCTTGAGCTCGGCCAAATGGGCCTGCTTACAGTCCGTCCCAGCGTTCTGCGTTATGAAAAGTACCGGTAAACGGGCGCCGTCTAATCTCCCAGAAGTGGAGTGGGGCCATTTCCGGCGGCATCCCGGGCACACCGTGCGGTGGGGACCGCGGAGACCGGCCCACGTCGACCCTGACCTGGTCCTCTAATGGTCCGGCGCGGTCTGCGGCGCCACCACACTAATCCTTCAGCAGCATTAGCGGCCCCAGAGTGGCGTCCAAATGGCCGATCGGCACCCGACCTGACCGCCGCCCCCGGCCGACGCGGCGGCCCAGGTAACTGATCGCCTACGGCCAGGGTCGCGGCACGCGGGTCTGGCCGCGTACTGCCGACCACGTCTGCCGTTAGCAGGCGACGAGGGGAGTGGACGGGGATTAGCGCAGACGGCGGGCAACCGCTGAGAGAGACCGAGGCCCATTCCGAGCGCAGCAGCCGACTCGGACTAGAAAAATGCTGCCTGATGTTTATAGGTCAAGGTCTTTCTAAACGACCTGCCACGACGCGCGCGATTGTCGTCATCTGCATTTGAATGCCGGCTTCAGTTGCTGAGGGACACGGGTGTTGAAATGGCTGTGAAAATGCGAGAACGACGCGGAAATGTGACGAAACGCTGTAAGCTACGAGGCAGATGGATACAAGCTCAGCGCATCTGCGTGAAAATGTTACTTCTGGCACCAAAATGGCGTCAATTTGCCACTTCTGTGTGATTTTACCAACATTGATCAACTCAAATGCAAGCGCTCTAATAGCACATTGGCGTGCAAGGCTGCCCTATCCAACATCCGATCTTGGCCCCGTCCCTGAGCTGCACGGCAGGCTCACCTGCTATCAGCCGCGGCGGGTCGTCTTCCTTTGTCCTACAGCGCCGATGCGCGCCCTGATACCAAATCGCCCGAGCACGGCAAGTGGCTTCGTTAATTATGCGTAGACTGGCTCGGAATCGACGGTCTATTCGGCGGCGGACATCCGTCGATGCCCGCGGGGCGGGCTTCGTCTGACATCTGACGAGGGTAGCCACGAGGCAGTGCCTGATAGCGTTCTGTGAACGGACGCAGTGCTGGCGGAACCTGAACGGGGCTCTGAAATATTGAGTTCCTGAACCGAACGCTTATAACCCAGGTTGAAACAGGTAGGTAGATCGTTAAGCTAACACTTCAGACGGCACACGGGGTGCTCCGATTCAGGCCACAGCAACGCTCTTGTTTGATGAAATTGTTCCGGAAATGTAATGTTTGTTCCGATATTGGGCGCACCGTTTTTCCCTATCCTATGCTTGTTGGCATACCAACAGACTTCGAAGAGTTGCAAATGTTCTCTTGTCAAGATTGTTTGCTGTTGTATGCTTTGGTGAATTTCAAGTTTACATTTGAATTGTTGAAACATTTCTTTGTAATAAAGAAGACTCATTGACGTATGCATAGGAATGATGTGCCTTCGTCGCAGCCATCTTTCTATGTTTCCTTGCGCTGTGGCAAGCCTTATCCGTAATGAAATAAGGTCACCGGCGGGTTTTAGCTAGCGAAGCCCCCATTCATCACGAGCAGGTCACAGACACCTGGTTCAGCCGCGGCAACGGCACGGAAAATGATGGGGTTCGTGGCTCATGTGAAACCGTATATTTATGCGTGCTTTTCAGGAAAACTTTAGCAAAACCATTGTGCACCACAATGCGATATCGAGCCATGCTTATGTAAAGGTCAAAGCTGGCTCATAATGTTTCTATCTTTCAATTCGTCTGACTGACTAAGCCAGAGTCCGCACTGAGTGCATCTAGCTGTGTGAGCTCCGGCCTCATCCGTCCGGTCGGTAAAATGGTGTTAGGTCTAACAACTCCCACTTCTTTTTTACAAAAGCTACCTTTGCTGAGAAATCTGTTGAACTTTGCTCTGATTTATCAGCCTGTTCCACTGACCATCATGTAACATTTGGCTAGACTGAGAGAGGAAGTCATAGAGCTAGACTGACTTATCGGGTGCACGGGCGTCGGTGCAGCATTTATTTACCTGAAGAGCCATGTGTGGGTTACATAAACCACCTGCACCGCCATTTGTGTTGTGTGCTCCAGCTTAGTAGCAAGCAGTGTATATTTGGCGTGATTGAGGACAGTTGGCCTTCAGGTGAATGCAAATCCATAGCATAGAACAAAAGTTAATGACCAGAAAGGTCAATTATACCCGACCTTACATGAAAACAGGAAACACGACAGCAGGCAAGTGCTATAGGAGGAATGGTTAGCTGGTGCAACGGCGCAACAAATAAAATTGGCTGCATGCTACTTGTGCAAATTCGATGGTTGAGTCTGACACCTTAAATATGTACCCACTGTCGGAAGCATAATATAAGATAGCTCCCCTTCTACATCTTCAGTACAGTAGGTCTACAAAATAAGTCCTCTTCGTATGCGGGTCACCAGCGGGCAGTTAGCGCCTGAGCGCTACTCAGGCGCCACCTGCCCGGATACGGAGAGGGCTTATTTTGTAGACCTACTGTACCTCTTCCGCCCACCACTTCGCCTCATCCATGCACATGCTTTTCACGGGTTCAAACAATATTCTGCACCTTACCAACTACAAAGCTTAGCGTCAAGCTTTAAAGGCTTCGCCCTGCATGTCCCTGAGCGATCGACCCACGGTAGAAATTAGGACTGGAGTCGGTAGTTCACCCCGTGCAGTTCTGTGTACATAGTGTGAGCCGTGCAGCCTTTGTGTGGGGGGAACCGTAGAGCAGGCGCACACGTCTGCTCACCGATTTCATGAAAAGGTCAGATACATTTTCGATGTATTAGCGCTGATTGCAAATTTCAATTTTCATGAAAAAGGTTGGTATGATACAATTGTACCCTATACGACCCCACCATACACAGTAAGAGTAGCAGTAAAACAGTACTGCACGCAACAGTAAAAAGTTATAGTGACGGAAATAGCCGCACTGTATGTCTTTGTTTGTTTGTTTGTTTGTTTTTTACATGAAAACTACGGTGGCTGTTCAAATGCCTCCTCTCTCCCCATTTCCATCAGAACGGGAAAATCATTTACATCCCACAATGCCCTCATTCCTACTCTGTGCTGAAATAACACTACCTACCTAAAATTAAGAATGATATATTTCGCTGCTGCTGGGATATGCTTTTAAAGTGAAAGGATATTTAGTATTTTTATTTAGTACATGGGCTCTTTTTTAGTGTTTAGTACAGGGGCTCTATATAAATACCCCAGAAAGTATTTAGAGCCCCTGAGCCGCGCGCTGGTTCAGTGGTAAGAGCCCTGCCCCTGAGCTCCCGTCACGCTAAGATTCATTGACCTCCTGGCGGTCGGTAGCTATAGGGTTCGTGACCTGCTGTATATTGCTGGTACAATACAGCTTTGGTGTAGTCCATCACAGCAGAGTAGCTAAACAGCAGATAACGTCTGTATAATAATGGATTGTCATACAGCTTGTATCCTACATTTATGAGCATAATCAAGCGTCGTAAACCATCCAAAGCCACAATATACTGATGCATTAATTTCTGAGGAGTGTATGCGCTTGACAGCAGCGGATGATTTATGAATCCATAACGGTTATGACCTGATATCGAACAGCATACTAGAGATGGTGTTTATTTCAAAGCTGATGAATACCGCCCCTCTGTTCATTTTCAGGAGCTTGGAATCAAATCTTTTCAACAAGAGTAACGAGCTTCAGGAAGAAATCAGCTCCAAAAGGCTTGATCTACAAGTGGCTCAGATCCATTACGCAGCTGTGAAAGCTCAGGTCAGTCGTGAGTTCTGATGGGCAGCATTTGTGCTGACATAAATTGAATTTAAGGCCCATATGATTTACACTGACGGCTTTGGGCAAGGTCTTTTACTTTTCATGAAGCTATCAAGAAGCATGCATTGAACTTTGCTCTACCCTATTGCATACTTTTCTAGGGATCAAACATCAGTGTTATCAATGAACTTCAAAGACCCATGTGTACATATTATGCTTTATTCATAACATGTTTCAGTCCCCAAAATAGAACGCTTACAATGGCTAATATTCCCTTTCAACCAGGCAAGGCAGCCATAATCGTTTATTTGGAAAATGTCCTTGCCGTCTTCTGCACGCCTGTGGGCCGGTCTAGAGACCACGTCAGGTGATAGATACCCTTAATCTGGGCATCTGTCAGGATTTCAATCAAGGTGACGGGGCGACCCGACCCGAGCGGGCACCGGCGCCAGCGCGAGCGAACCGGCCAGCCAGCCGGCTCTGGCGGCCATTCATTTCGGATTACAGCTGGGCTCATTGAGGGCGGTGCCGCCACCGCCCGTGAAGTTCCATTTCCTGACCTGCCTGTGCCCGGCCGGCCGGACTCGCACCCGGTCAAAGGTCAAAGGTCACGCCGCTGGACAATGCTCGTCGAACTGCTCCTGAATAATGTCTTCTTCTCCCGGAATAGCTGTCGGTGTGCTGATGAGAGTGTTGCGGGCATGACGTTAGGCCCGAGGGTAGTTAGTTGGGTCAGACATGGTCGGGAATCGGTCATAGCAACAGAGGATGTCCAGCATGCCTCTCCACCCCTCTCCCTGCGCGGCCGGGAGCCCGTATTTAGGACTGACCGCCAAGGAGAGAGTGTGGGAGCGGGGAGGGGGTGTGTTGGCAGCCGGCCGCGGAGGCGACAGCGCATAGATTAATTCGGCGGGTGGCCGGCGGCAGCGCAGATGAACCAGTCTACAACGGATACAACGGGCCGTATAGAGATGGAGGACTGGGCAGAGACGAACAGTGGACAACGGCGTATAGAGATGAACTGGGGGAGAGATGGACAGTGGACAACGGCTACAGCGGGCCGTAGAGAGATGGACTGGGCAGAGATGAACAGTGGACGACGGCGTATAGAGATGAGCTGGGCAGAGATGAACAGTGGAAAACGGCGTATAATAGAGATGAACTGGGCATACTGGGCATTGGGCAGAGGTGAACTAGTACAAAACGGCTACAACGGTCGTACAGAGATGAACTGGGGAGCAATGAACCGGGGGACAATGGGTAAATACAGCGGTGTATAGAGATGATCCAATCCAAAAGAGAAAGATGCACTGACTTATGTAATGTAACCAGTAGGAGCGATAAACATGAGGAATAGCGAACCGATCAATGAATGAATACCGGCGCACGGTGATTGCCGGTGGACAGTGGATTTAGGGAATGATGGCGACAAGCGATCAACTGTGAATGACCAATGAGCTTTATCCAAGGGACACCTGTTCTAATAAGATAAAACTTTCAGGACTTTGTATTGCTATGCTACCTACATATTGCTATAAAAAAGCATGCGTAGGGGAGTGCTATGATCACGTACAGAAGTATTGCATGCATTCATCGTATCTCCGATCTGGTAGTTTCTCACATTTTATCTCGCGGCCGATCGATGTTTTCCATTTGAAAAACCGGCGGGCTGCCAGCCGGCGACGAAGGAATGCCTCTCTGGGGGCGCAGCGGGACGGCTCAGCGGTGTCCTCCTCGAGTCGGCGCGATCGAATGTGTCATCGCGTCCCCAGATGGACCAGTAAAGACTGACGAGGACAGGAGCCGCCATCAGAAAGCAGACGGCGCCGCCGAACCTCTGCCCTTGGCTGGCTCCAAAGATGACCCCGTTCTGGCTCCGACATGGCCGCGTTCGACCATTGACGTATCGTCAATAGAGTCGACCTCGAAAGGAGCGGTGGCAGTCTGCCGGTGGGGCTGGAGCGGCGTAAATCCGCCGCCGACTCGTGTCCCGCTGAATAAGTTACGCCCGCGGGCCGGTTTCATCAGGGCCGCTCGCTGCCGGGACGCCTCGCTCAGACACCTGACTGGAAACCCGAACAGGATGGCAGCGCTGGCTTTATATCACATCCGAGCGGGTGGTTCGAATAATAAATGATTCAGCGACATACAGAAGCTAAGTGCGTGGGCGAGCATAGAGGCTAGAAAACTGCCAAATGCGCTCCATTGCCTCGGTTAGTTTACCGGCGGCATTCGATTTCCTCAGGGAAGAGAGTTATTCAGTTTTGATGTTGGTATCCTATTGCCTGTTGCCGTACCACGCAGCCAATATAACTAGTCCCCAACCGGTACACAATATCTGTAGCCAAACACACCCCACGGTGTTGTGTGTTGATTGGTATAGACGCATAACAATAGGGACATTATTACACCGACTGGTTCAATGCGTTCGCCAGTGTTACTGCCATTATGGAACCCCGACCAATGCTCGGTGCAGCCGGCTAGGGTGGATAATACAGCCGATCTATACGGAAACAACGTATAATACGGACACGCGGTCTCAGCCACGGAGGCAGCACGTGCTTGGCGTTTTCCCTGAACTCCAGGGACTTGCTGACGTCACTAACTTAATGACTACCCGCTGACCTTGCGTGAGCTCCTGAGTTTGAGAGAGGTCACTGAGTTTGTGTGAATCTGCGGAGCGCTGCTAGCGCGGCATCCAGCACAGTGAACACGGAGAGGCCCCAGAACAGGCCGACCAGGCCGCCTATATAAGAGGCCACGTCCCCTCCGGGCACCGCCAGCCGCTGGCGAGTCTCACGCATCATCGGCGGCCAGCTGAGTTGCACCCGGACCGTGTCAGGCCGTGACCACAGCGGCGTCACGCGCGCCTGCTCGACCAGTCGCACCTGCTCGAACCGGCAGTTGGAGGGGCCGCGGCAGCGCTCCACCAGCCGCTGCCGCCATTCGGGACGGTGTGCCTCCTCGCGCAGCGCCTCCTGAGAGCCGAGCGGGCACAGCGGCAGCGCGCGCACCTCGGCAGAGCCCATCCAGGCGGCGCGGCAGCCGGCAGCCTCTGCTAGCTCGCGCTGCATGCAGCTCCGCCGCCACTGCTGGCTGGTGAAGCCGCACGGCGCGCGTCGTAGGCTCACCTTCTCTGTGGCCCTTATTTGCAGCCGGAGCGTCACCACCGTGCCCGGCCGCAGCGGCACCTCGGCGGAGGCCGTCTCGCACGCGCGGTAGACCGAGTCGGGCAGGGTGGGCTCCTGGTCAGGCCAGTGGATCAGCAGCAGATGGGTCACGCGCCGGGACGACACCGGCTCCACGGCCAGCTCCAGCGCCACCTGACGCTCCACTTTGGAAGATTCGACGGCGGGCGGCGGCAGTTCGGCCGTCACGCAGAACGGCATCAGCGTCTCGTCGTCGAGCTGGAACGAATGGTGCACGCGCACGGCCACGGTGTGCTCTGCAGTGACGTCGCAGCCGTCGCAGGGACGCAGCAGGCGGGCCGGGTCCGGCCGCAGACGCTCCACGAACTCGCTGGAGGTGATGTTGCCGGCGCGCAGCTCCTCCAGACTGGCGTTGTAGACGGCGGCGGACGGCCGAAGAGGACACACAGTCAGCGCCGGCGTTGGGGCGGCCGTCCACAGCGTGTCCGCCGTCACTGGTTCAGCGGCAAACAGCGCCAGCTTCTCATAGCAGAGCCACAGCAGCACGGCCGTCGACACCAGCTTCAGACAGAGGACGATGGCGGTGGCGACAGACTGCAGCGCGACGCGCCACGCGCGCAGCACCGGCCGCCGTCCGGCGACATCCTCGGCTCGCCGGCCGTCGTCGGACGCGGCAGAGGGTCCCACACTCACCAACATCGGTACCGACGGACAGAAACAGGTGCGCGAACGGAGCAGGGGGAGTCCGGCAGCGGTGTCCGACACTCAGGCGAATGGCTTCTAAGCTCTGGTTGCCTCTTCCGTGATACTGTTGTCTGCTTCTTCCGTTTTCTTTCACGATTTTTAAACGAGCAGCAGACAAAGTTCCTTGGCGCTCCAGCAAACACTTCGAAGTTTTTTAATGCGTCTGGACGTCTCAGTTTTTCATCTGCAGGAAGCCCATCCCAGTTCTCGCCTCACAAGAGCTACCAGATGATGTCCTCCAGTTACCACGGCATTGGCGGTCTGTTAGCTCCGCTCTTGGAGAGGCTGTTGTGTCTTGTAGAGACCGCTGCTGCTTCCTCACCGGGTCAACAGCGAGTGGCAGACCTCCGTCTGGCACTCTGTCGCCGACTGATTTTTTTTTTTTTTTTTTTTTTGAATTTTGCATCCCCGCTAGCTCAAGGCTATAGCAGGGGAAGGGAAGTTACTTGCTGGCAATTAGCCAGATCTTTTGTTTTACGTTAAGTTAATTGCCGGCTATTTGATTCCGGCCCAAGAAGCAAAGCAAAGACAAACTTTACGTTAGACCGGCTCATGTGGCGTCCGGTGGGTTGCAAAACAAAGGGAAGGCCAAAAAGGTGCCAGATAGGCGAGACCGATAAATTTGGTTACTTACATAGAGCTTGCTGCTGAGACTTGCTGCTGATTTGTGTGCTGTTGTTTGGTGTGTGTTGTTGTGGGGTGAACTTTACCAGGAAAAGTCCTAACTAGAAAAAACCTGGTGCCTAACCAAGAGGGCAAAAACCTGTGCTTTCAGCCAAAGTACACAGTAAAAAAGCCCTTTCTTTAATTACGTTATATTACGTTACGTTATATCGCTAATGTGTATGTGTGTTTGTGGAGCTATCACCTTCATCCACTCCCGGGGGGCCATGGATGCAAGCCACATAGGCCGCGCCCGGGGTGTCCGGCGATAGCTTCTGTGTCTCGAGTGGGCCTCAACCTTTAAGAGGGATCCCTGTCGAGAACCGCGAGCTTACACACATATATATATACACTTGGAAAAGGCGGCGAGAACGAAAACGAATGGAAGCAAAACGAAGCGGATGGAGACGACGATGGGAGATCATAAGAACATCTATATACTGT